TGTGACTCTGGTTCTGTTTTGTTATGTCTGTTCATTCATTTTGGTGTTTAGATTCCACATGTAAGTGAGATCATATAGTTTTTGTCTTTCAGTCTCTGACTTACTGACTTACTTTACTTAGCATGATACCCATGTTGTCGCAGATGGCAAGATCTCATTCTTCTTATGACTGAGTAATACTCTTGTATGAGTAATCTTGTACTGTGTATGTCCCATCTTTATCCATTCATCTGTTGATGGGCACTTAGATTGCTTCCATATCTTGACTATTGTAAATAATGCTAAAATGAATGGAGGGGTGCATGCATTTTTTTTGAATTAGCATTTTTGTTGACTTTGGAAAAATTCTGGAGAAGTGGAATGCTGGATCTATGGTAGTGCTATTTTTAATTTTTTGAGGAACTTCCATGCTGTTTTCTGTGGTGGCTGCATCAATTTACAGTCCTACCAATGCTGTGTAAGGGTTCCCTTTTCTCCATATCCTTGCCAGTGCTTGTTATTTATTAATTGTCGAAAATGATGATAGCCATTCTGACAGGTCTCAGGTGGTATCTTATTACAGTTTCTATTTGCATTTCCCTGGTGATTTTTGATGTTGAGCATCTTTTTATGTATTGGTTGGCTATCTGTGTGTCATCTTTGGGAAAATGTCTATTCTGGTCCTCTTCCCATTTTTCAGTTGGGTTGGTTGGGGGGTTTTGATTTTGAGTTGTATGAATTCTTTAAATATTGGATTGGCCAAAAAGTTCATTCTGGTTTTTCCTTAAGATGTTAACGAACTTTTTTTGTTTTTGTTCAGTCACTCAGTTTTGTCCTACTCTTTTCGACCTCATGGACTGCAGCACATCAGGCTTCCCTGTCCTTCACTATCTCCCAGAGTTTGCTCAAACTCATGTCCATTGAGTTGATGATGCCATCCAACCATTTCATCCTCTGTCACCCTCTTTCCTTCTGCCCCAGCCTTTTCCAGCATCAGGGTCTTTTCCAGTGAGTTGACTCTTCGCGTCAGGTGACCCAAGTATTGGAGCTTCGACTTTGGCCAACCCCATATTTTGGGTATTAACCCCTTATCAGACATACTGTTTTCACACTTCTCCCATTCAGTAGGTGGCCTTTTAATTATGTTAGCAGTTTCATTTGGTTTGCACAAGCTTTTTCTTTAGTTTGATGTAGTTCCATTTGTTTACTTTTGCTTTGTTTTCCTTGCCTGAGGAGACATATCCCGCAGAATACTGCTAAGACCAGTGTCAAGGAATGTACTGCCTATGTTTTCTTCTAGGAGCTTTATGATTTCAGGTCTTATGTTTAAGTATTTAATACACTTTTGAGTTTATTTTTGTATATGGTGTGAGAAAGTTCAGTTTTGTTTCTTTTGCATATAAGCTGCCCAGTTTTCCCAACACCATTTGTTGAAGAGGCTGTCTTTTTCTCACTGAATATTTTTGCTTCTTTTATCATAGATGAATTGATCATGTAACTGTGGTCTCATTTCTGGGCTCTCTGTTCTGCCATTAGTCTATGAGAGTGTTTTTACATACTGTTGGGATTACTGTAGTTTGTAGTATGGAGAAGGAAATGGCAGCCCACTACAGTATTCTTGCCTGAGAAAGCCCATGGACAGAGAAGCCTGATGGGCTCCAGTCCATAGGGTCACAAAGAGTCAGACATGACTGAGCAGCTGACCATAGCGTAGCATGCCTTCTGCATCTTATGTGTAAGACTCCATTCATTACTGAGCGACTGGACAGCAGCGCAGCAGCTTGTAGTGTAATTTAGAAGCAGGGAACATGTTCCCTCTGACTCTGTTCTTTCTCAGAATTGTTTTGGCTATTCAGGGTCATTTTTTTAATATATTTTCCTGCAGAAAACATGAGTTTAATCAGTGAGAAATCATTTATTTTTCATAAATGGCATAAAGCTATACCTATCATTCTTTTCTGCTTTTAAAAAAATCAGTGGTTTATCTTGGTGGTATTTCCATGTTATTATATACATATATTTTAACTTAATCCTTTTCACTGCCCCAGAATGTTTCATAAGTTTATACTGTTTTTGTTTCATATTACCCATTTCGCCTCCCATTCAAATCTTGGATCTTAGCAAGTTTTAATGCTTTAGTTTTCATGTGGCCATTGGAACCAAACATTTTTATAGGGGTCTGTGAGCTATTTGTATTTTTTTCTTCTGATATGTGTTTCTAGAGTTCAGTGGATTTTTTTTTTTTAAACATTTGGTTCTTTAATCACCATTGTATTCTTGTGAGTAATGAGTCAGACATCTACCGAGATGTAGATTTGCAGCTGTTGCGCTCATCTGCTTTGCTAATCCAAGCAAGTCAGCTGAAAAACTGTTAGAACTAGTAAGAGAGTTCTGTGAAGATGATGGAATACAAGATCAACTTACCGAATTTAAAAGGTTTTCTTTAAAACACCAGCAATAGCCTTTCAGAAAGTATAGCATAAAACAGATCTCATTCATAATGAGAACTGTAAAGTACTAAAAGTAGACCTAACAAGAAATGTGTGATCACAGAATGGGGACTTGCCCAACTCTTTAGCAAAAGCATGTTGTTTGATTAAAACTAGGGATATTGGTCAGGTAGTAAACAAGATTGATGGAACAGAACACAATCTAGAAATCCATGTAATATAGTGTATGATAGTAATATAGTGTATGATAAAGGTAACATTTCAAATAAGGGATGGGCAGTTAAAAGATCTTTTTGGTGTTCAATGACACTAGGCTGAAAACTGACTTCAGTATAGGCCTTAGGCTCACCAGGATTTCTGTTTTTTACCAAAACATTAAAAAAAAAAATGTTAAGAGTAATTTTATATATGACACTTTAAAAGCACAATGACATCAAGCCTTTGTTCATGTCTTCTGCCTAGAACTATTCTCAACCCACTGTTCAACCACTTCCTTTTACCTACCTAATTCCTATTTCGAGAACTCGCTCAGTTACGGAGTAAATGTTCACACTGAGCTTTTGTAGCTCCAAACTTAGATTTTTATATATATATATATATATATATATATATAAATATTTATATCTGTGGGTTAAGTCCAAATTTAATCATTGCAGTTATTTTAACTTCTTAAGTATCAGAGTCTATCTACTCTTGTTGATGTTGATTTACTCTTTGTTACTAATGGGGAGTTCCCTTCCCCACTCAATCTTTAACCCTTGTATAAATTATGGAATTTATTTACTATATTAAGAAGTCCATAGAAAAACTGTTGCTACTCAGAGGGCTTCTAAGGTGCGACTTTTCATGGTTGCTTAGCTACTGCTAGTTAAATAAACATCCTAAAGGTTTTCCTCTGGAGATTTTTTAAAGAAAAGAGGTTCTTGAAATTCTACCTTTTCTAGCATCTTTTCCTTTTGTGTGTGTGTGTTTTAGGATGAGTACAAAGCAGTATGAACAGAAGAAACTAATAATGACTGGAAAATTTGTTAAATTGCTTACTGTTATTACCATAAAATGACATAGTACTGGTTTTTAGTTTTAAATGACTATCCAAGGATTTATATTGGCACCTCTCAACAGTAGTCGAAAAGAAGTTTTAACAGGAGCCAGAATTTATTACCATGGCTTTGTGGAATAATGGAAGGGAATGTGGGCTCTAAAGCAAACCTATCTAGGTTTAAATTCTCATGTTGCCACTTAAGCTATGGAAGCCTTGAGCGAGTAGAGCAGCCTCTTAGTGTTTCCTAGTCTCTGTAACGGTGGTGACAGCTTCCCTGTGGAAGTATTGTTTTAAAATAAGATAATGTATGCAAGGCATTTAATGCAGTGTTTATACTCATTAGACCCTCAACTTGGTACTAATTATATTGCCTGCTTTAGACATGGCCGTTTAAATGTCTCCCTCCGTTCTTGGAGAGTGTTCTGGACTGACATTTAATTTTTGCTCCTACTCTGTCACTCCCTGGAGCGAATCATTCAGCCTCGCTGTACATCAGTGGTATTATTTTTTAAGGTGAGGGATTACATAGGTTTAGGGCTTCCCTGTGGCTCAGATGATAAAGAATCTGCTTGTAATGCAGGAGCCCCAGGTTCGATCCCTGGATTGGGAAGATACCCTGGAGAAGGGAATGGCTATTCACTCCAGTATTCTTGCCGGGAGAATTCCATGGAGAGAGTAACCTGGAAGGCTACAGTCTGTGGGGTTGCTAAGAGTCAGACACAACTGAACAACTAACACTTTAACTCAACATAGGTTTATTGGTCAGGAATTTCTTAGAGAACAGGGTAATTAGGATATGCTGTTTTCCTGGTAATGACATAAAAATAATGTTGGGAGAAATAAAATCCTCCTTTGAAGAAATGCTGTTAAAATACAAATTGCTGACAATGTGAGCTCTTTTCTTTTAGCAATCATTTCTTTTGTAAAATTTAAGATTTCTCAAAAGTTAATTTTTAACTCCTTCATTGTTAAATCTCAGAACTTTGGTAGCCTCTGTGCAGAATGGAGGGAACAGTAACCTGTATTATAGATGTACACACTTACCTAAGAAGAGGGCAGGCCTTTTTTTCTCATGAAAGTCACATCCTTGGGTTGATCATGTCATTCATTTAGCAAATACTTGCTTTAGTGTTTACCCGTGTCTAGCAGATATAATATAAAAAGATGATTAAAGTCAAGAGTCTCTTTCAAGTTCAGTTCAGCCCCTAATGAACAACATATGTATTTTTAAACTGTTGTCAGAATAGATACCTTAAAAAGGTAGGAGACAAATCTGTATTTAGAATTCCCTGTCCTGCAGGTGATCTTCTCTCAGATGTTCAGAAACTTGATACTCTTCCCTCTTGTGGTGACTGGGAAACTTACCTAGCTGAGAGACTGAGTCCTTGCACTTGTAACACTAAAGGATGTATTAAATAATAATGGGTGAAAACATGTTACTCTGGCATTGATCTCAATATAGCATTGTTATATTTTCAGGAAACTACTAAAGTTCCTGTGGACGCAAAGTAGAATTTCATAAGAACATAATGGGTAAGTCATATGAAAGTAATTTTGTCATTCAGTTAGTTGAAGCTTTCTTCTCAAAGGTAGACCTTCAGAGTCGGTGAATGCAAGTAAGAAAATAGAGTGGATTGAAAATTAGTTGTTTATATCAACAGCTATGTTTACTATATGTTTCTGAAAGGCAGATCAGTAACATTATTGTGCCAGATTTAATTTGTGATTGCTAGTGAGTAATTGTTACTTAAGAAATTAGAAACTCTCCTAACAGACATTGAAAATGGTTTCATTTCCCAAAAAAAACCCCAAAACCACTAAATGTATAAATTTAAGTAATTTATAATTATTTTTATTTTTGTTCTCAGAGGTTGGCAAAAACTTAAAAATCTGTATGCTTGAATAGTCTATGATTTAGAAGTTACTTGCATTTTTGAGTCCCCCAGCTTTTTACTATTAAAAATTGTAAGAATAATACACTGTGGCCTTTACCAATTAATGTTTTGCCATATTTGCTTTTCCTGTGTGTTTATGTTTATATACCCCCATATACATACAAAAACACACATAAGCCTTTTTGCCTGTATTTATTTATTTGTACATGTAATACTCAAGGAGTCTTCCAGGTGCTTCACTGGTAAAGAATCTGCCTGCTGATGCAGGAGCTGCAGGAGTCTGGTTCGATTCCTGGGTTGGGAAGATCCTCTGGAGTAAGAAATGACAACCCTCTGTAGTATCCTTGCCTGGAGAATTTCATGGACAGAGGAGCCTAGCAGGCTGCAGTCAGTGGGGTCACAGAGTTGGCCACAGCTGAGCATGCAGCATGTAAAACTCCATACTGAACACTTAAGCATGCATCTCCCTGATTCAGCCCATATTCAAAATTTCAGTTTCTTCAATAGTGTTCTTCACAGTGGGTTTATTCTTTTTAAATCGAGGGTCCAGTCAAGGATTACTTCCTGTATTTATTTATATCTTTGCCTCCTTTAAGTAGTTTCTTACTTTAGAGATTGGGTGAGGAGTGAAGTCTTTCTGGCACATTTAAATTTAGGTTTGTCTGAATGGTTCCTCCTGATTAGATTCAGATTAAACAATTTTGGCAATGATAGAACATGAGTGATTTTGATATTTATTAATCTCAGTTTTAGGAATTTGTATTAACAGATGAATGAGTGAATGTATGTTTGTAATTAAACAGGGCTTCAGCTTCTGTACTTCTCACTAAGGCTTCCTGAGTTTTTAGAATGAGCTTTAAGATGTTTTCTTTCAAATATTGGTAATCATAAAAATTTAAATTCTGTCAATACAAACATGTAAAGTTATATATGTGAGAAAAGATTATAAACAGATGTATAAAAATACATACTCCCTCAAAAAGTTACATTGCACAAACTCCTCTGGCTAAAACCAGCATGGAGGCAGTGGAGGTAACTGCTAGCTACTTCACCTGTGCTTTGAATTTTTAAAGATGATACTTGTCTATATTCATTACTTCAGTATTCATGCAGTAATTTAAACTGAGCAGTAAAACATTTTGATCATTTTTTATGCATCAAGAGTAAAATGCTGAGTAAAGAAAGCCCTAATTTTGAGAATATGGGCTTGTCAGAAGTTGCACTCATACGGCATACAAACATCTATTCCAAAACACAGTATACATTTTATTTTTAAAATGAGAATTTCAAGTAACAGATTTAAAGTTTTACTATTTGAATGTTTTCTTTTAGTCTTAAATTCAAATGTGCTGCTGTGTTCACGAATTGTTACTATTCCCTTGAAAATACTGGTACATTTTCATCTAAAGTAAACATCCTTGAGAGTTCCTTGGTGGTCCAGTGGTTAGGACTCAGCACTTTTCGCTGCCACGGCCCAGGTTCAATCCGTGGTCGGGGAACTGAGATCCCACAAACTGTGCGGCTAGAATATTAAGAGACTAGTTAGACAAGAAGTTAAAAACTTTAAAATCTTGGGAAACGGTCCAGGTCTGAGTTATTCAAATACTAACTTTGGTAAACCTTTTTGTTTTTAATCCATTTTGTGAGTCAGAAATCATTTTACCGCTTCCTTACTTTAGATGGAGAAGAGAAAACCTATGGTGGCTGTGAGGGCCCTGATGCCATGTATGTCAAGTTGATATCTTCAGATGGTCATGAATTTATTGTAAAGAGAGAACATGCGCTAACATCGGGAACAATAAAAGCCATGTTGAGTGGCCCAGGTAGGTACATTTCTTTATTTCCTCCTAATATATTGTATCTTCACTTTCAATGTGTGATGAATGTGATTTAAGTTGAATTAAATAACTGATAACATTAAAAGAGAGACAGTAACTGTTCTAACATTAATTATTGCATGATTTTGTTGCATTCCCTGGTGGCTCAGGTGGTAAAGCATCTGCCTGCATTGCAGAAGACCCGGGTTCGATCCTTGGGTGGGGAAGATCCCCGGGAGAAGGGAATAGCAGCCCACCCCAGTATTCTTGCCTAGAGAATTCCATGGACAGAGGAGTCTGGCGGGCTACTACTGTCCATGGGGTCGCAGAAAGTTGGGCATGACTGAGCAGCTAACACTTTCACTGTGTTGCATTGGGGAAAAAATGGCATCTGCTATTTCCTGCTTTCAGTTATTTACTGCAGTTTTATGAAGACCAAACTGATTATTTTGTAACAGGAAGGATCATTTCCCTCTGTTAGTTTCCTTAGTGAGTTCACCACAGAAGGACTGTGATTGGTGATTTGTGCTCCTGGTTACACGTGAAACACGTGAAGTTTATGTAAGTTACTGCCTCCCAGATACCTATTCTTACTTTTACCTCAAGAAAGTTTTTCTTGAGGATTGGAATTTCTGGAGCATACAGTAATTCTATGCTTAACTGTTTGCACTGTGGCTGAACCATTTTACATTCCAACCAGCAGTGTATGAGGGTTCTGGTTTCTCCACATCCTCTCTGACATTGGTTATTTTCTATTTTTCTGATTGTAGCCATCTTAGTGAGTGTGAAGTGGTATCTCTTTACATTGTCCTTTGGATTAGCAATTCCCTAATGACTAACGATGTTAAACATACCTTTATGTGCTTTTTGGTCATTTGTATATCTTCTTTTGAGAAACATCTGTTCAATTCTGTTGCCCATTTTTTTAATTGACTTGTGTTTCTGAGTTGTTAAGAGTTCTGTATAAATTCTGGGTGACTTCCCTGGTAGCTTAGCTGGTAAAGAATCTGCCTGCAATGCAGGAGACCCCGCTTCGATTCCTGAGTCAGGAAGATCCCCTGGAGAAGGGACAGGCTACTCACTCCAGGATTCTTGGGCTTCCCTGGTGGCTCAGCTGGTAAAGAATCCACCTGCAATGTGGGAGACCTGGGTTCAGTCCCTGGGTTGGGAAGATCCCCTGGAGGAGGGCGTGGCAACCCACTCCAGCAGTTTTGGCTGGAGAAGCCCCATGGACAGAGGAGCCTGGCAGGCTCCAGTCCATGGGATCGCAAAGAGTTGGACATGACTGAGCGACTAAACACAGCACCTAAATTCTGGACACTAGAGCCTTACCAGATACATGATTTGCAAATATATTCTGTATTCTGTAGGCTGTGTTTTTTCTTGATAGTATCTTTTTTTGAGAGGGTTGCTGCATTGGATCTTCATTGCAGCACATAGAATCTTCATTGTGTCATGTGAGATCTTTTGCTGTAGCACAGACTCTAGTTGTGGCATGTGGACTTAGTAGACTCAGTAGTTGTAGCGCTTGGGCTTCATTGCTCCACAGGCATGTGGGATCTTAGTTCCCCACTCAGGGAACGAACCCTCGTCCCCTGCATTGCAAGGCAGATTCTTTTTTTTTTTTTCTTTTCAAACTTTTAACATTTGTATTGGAGTACAGCCAGTTAACGAACAATGTTGTGATCATTTCAGGTGAACAGCGAAGGAACTCAGCCACACGTTTCCATGTGTACATTCTCCCCCAAACTTCCTTTTCATCCAGGTTGACAAGGCAGAATCTTACCCACTGGACCACCAGGACAGTCCTTTGATAGTGTCTTTTGATGTACTAAACCTTTTTTATTTTGATGAAATCCAATTTATTTTCTCTCTTGTTGTTTGTGATTTATGAGTCCTTTCTAAAAATCCATTGCCAAATTCAGTGTCATGAAGATTTACCCTTATGTTTTCTTATTAGTTCTGTGGTTTAAACTCTTAACATTTAGGTCCTTGATATTAAGTTAATTTTTTATATAGTGTGAATCAACTTCATTCTTTTGCATGTGGACATCCCAGTACTATTGAAGAGATCATACTTTACTCCCTTGAATGGTTTTGGCCTCCTTGTTGATATCAGTTGGCCATAAGTGTGTAGGTTTATTTCTGGACTCTCAATTCTTCCTGTTGGTATATGTATCTATCCTTATACCGGTATAGCACTGTGTTGATTTCTGCAGCTTTGTAGTAAGTTTTGAAATTAGGAAGTGTTAGGCCTCTAACTTATTCTTTTTCAAAATTGTTTTGGCCATTTGGGATCCTTTGCAGTCCCTTTTTTATATTTTTTACTATGGAAATTTTAAAACATAACCCAGATACGGAGAAAATAGCATAACATACCTTCCTGTACCCATCAACCAGCTTCGGTAGTTACCAGTATTTTGAAACCAATCTCGTTTCATCTTTCTGACTTTAAGAGTATTTCAAGCAAACTTCTGACATAATGCCATTTCATTTGCAGAAATCTATGATTCTTCCCCTGCAAACTCTTTTTTTTCTTTCCTAGACCATCAGTTTTGGGGTTTTTTCCCATTTATTTTTGTTAGTTGGAGGCTAATTACTTTACAATATTGTAGTGGTTTTTGCCATACATTGACATGAATCAGCCATGGATAGACCATCAGTTTTACTAGAGACAAGGTTATTTGTATAATGTCGACATCCAGATTAGACTTAAGTCATGTTTCATCTTGAAAACTCATAATTAGAACTCTGGAGGCTTGATTAAAATTCAGTTCATCTCTCTAACAAGAGTACTTTATAGTTAGAACTCTTATATTCCTGTTGTATCATGTCTTTTAGCAATGCCAAGACTGGTCAGTGGGTTCCAGAGTTATCAAGCTGATTGGCCCATGAGCAGTTCCCCAGTCAGTCTTTCATATAATAGTTTTAGCATTCACTGGGGCTATTACTGAAATTTACTTCTTTCAGAATTATAAAACAGGATTTTCTAATTCTTTTGTTTCTTCTGCATTTATTACTTAGAATTCTCCAATAAAGAACTGTTTAGTTACCCTGAAATACAATCTGTATAGGGGAAAAAAAAAAGGATAAACACTTGATTTTTTTTTTTTCCCCTTCTAATTTTTCAGAGCAGCAAATTGGTTCTCCAGCATCTTCCAATAGTAAAGAATGTTTGTTTGCATGTATACATATATATTGGATATTTTTCAGTCCTGTGCAGTCATTTTTACTGATGTTCAGATTGCTCCATTTTTACGCCAGAGGGGGCACGTCAAGTTGGCTTCTGCGTCCTTGTGACGGCTGTATTAGTCTTGGATATCTACTGCTTTCTGTAATAACAAAAGTTCTCAAAATGAACAAAATGTTCATTTTGTACGCTATTTCTCAATCCTGAAAACAACTTTTTCTAAGGAGCCCTGGTTTTTTGTTTTTGGTTGGCTGGGTTTTAGTGGAAAACGGCACTTAGAGGCCCCTCTCTGGGTGCTAGCAGTACTCGTTGCTCCCGAGCTGAATCCCTTTTAGACTTTTCTTATAGACAGAACTAGGAGATACTTGAGGGGGCAAATTCAGGAATGCCAACAAAATCTTAGTTAAAAATTAAGATTAGAGAATTTTGGCTTCTTTTGTAGGCCTGATCTCCTTTAACATAAAACCAACTTTCATGTAAACATTAGTTTACGTGAAAAGGAATGTATACTGATACATGCACCTTCAAAACATTATGCTGAGTGAAAGAAGCCGGACATGAAAAATCAAATGTTGCATATTTCCATTTGTATAAAATATCCAGAATAGATGATTTCATTGAGACGGAAAGTAAATTGGTGTTTTCCAGAGACTGGGGTGTGGGGGGAGGTGGGAAATAATTGCTTAAAGAGTGTGTGCATGTGTGCTCACTTGTTCAGTCGTGTCCTACTCTTTGTGACCCCATAGATCATAGTCCATCAGGCTTCTCTGTCCATGGGATTTTTCAGGCAAGAATACTGGAGTGGGTTGCCATTCCTACACCAGGGATCTTCCCAACCCAGGGATTGAACCTGGGTCTCCCACACTGGCTGGAGAATTTACTGCACCTGGGAAGCCCTGCTTAAAGCGTACAAGGTTTTATCTGGGATGACAAAAATGTTTTGGAACCAGATAAGAGTGGATGGCTGCTCAGCACTGTGAATGTACACTGAATTACACATCTTAGATGGGGACTTTAATGTTATGTGCATTTCACCTCAAAAAAGCACTGTTTCTCTAGTGTCAAAGGCTTAACAACTGCCTGTTGGTAATATTTCATGCATATGTTCAAACAAGAGAATTGTAGTTATTGGCAAACAAAAGCTGACTTCATTGCTATGAATTATTTGTTGACTCCTTCTCTCCTTTTTTCTCATCCCAGCCTACCCCTAACCAACAGACATTAATAGAAAACTTTTAAAATACTCTTTTCTCAGAAAGTACATTTTTCTGTCTTTTTTTATTCAGTGCACAGTGCTAATGCTAGACGATCAAGAAAATATTTTAACCTAATAGTAAAGGCTAAATTATCTTGATCACTAAAAACAGTTTATGAACTGTTATTAAAGGGAAATATAATGGCTTATGAGATCTGATTAACATGATCATGTTTTAAAAACTAAAGAGGGAAACAGTGGATTTACTTCCTTGAAAAGATTTTTTTTAAATTAGTGTTTCACTTATTGTTTATATTTACATGGCAGCATAGCACAGAGCTCCTGATTATCGTAAATACTCGATTCCCTAGACTAGTGGTCCCCAACCTTTTTGGCACCAGGGACCAGTTTTGTGAAAGACAATTTTTCCACAGACTTGGGGGCTGGGGTAGGGGAGTAGTGTGGGGATGATTTGTGCATTACATTTAATGTGCTCTTTATTTCTATTATTATGGCCTCAACTCCCCCTGAGATCCTCAGGCATCAGGTCCTGGAGGTTGAGGGCTCTAGACCTAGACTGGATCTTTTGTGTTTCTGCTCAGAAATCAGAGCTAGCTACTTCATTTGATGCAAGTTGTGTTTATCCTTTTTGCATTATATTAGTCTGCCATAACAAAATACCAGTGACTGGACGATTTAAACAGAAATTTAGTTTCTCACAGTAGTTAGTCACATCCCAAAGGATGGGACTAAAGATTTGGCAGGGTTGGTTTCTTCTGGGGTCTCCTTCCTTGCCTTGTAGACAACTGTCTTCTCCCTGTCTTCACATTGTTGTCTAACCTCTGTGTGTCTGCAACCTAACCTCCTGTTCTGATAAGTGAAAGTCGCTCAATCGTGTCCGACTCTTTGCAACCCCGTGGACTGTAGCTTGCCATGCTTCTCTGTCCATGGAATTCTCCAGGCAAGAATACTGGATTGGGTAGCCATTCCCTTCTCCAGGGGATCTTCCCAACCCAGGGATTGAACCCAGGTCTCCCGAATTGCAGGTGGATTCTTTGGGCAATAAGTACATATTTAACTTTATAAGATAGTGTCAGACTGTTTTCCGAAGTGGTTGTACTGTTTCACATTCTATCTGGCAATGTCTGTAGAGTTTAAATTTCTTGCCATAGTTTATTTTGGGGAATTTTAATTTACTTTATCTCTTTATTCATATGTGTGCATGTGCATGCTCAGTCATCTCTTGACTCTGCAGCCCCACAGACTGTAGCCTGCTAGACTGCCCTGTGCATAGCATTTTCCAGGCAAGAATACTGGAGTGGGTTGCCATTTCTTACTCCATTCTCCAAATGACTCGAAGTTACTTGGTTTGTTTTATTGGATTAGTACTTTAGTGATAAATTTATGAATTTTCAAAGAGCCAAAATTCTCTTTGCAGATGAACGAGGTGGAAGTCTAAAGTCAAAACATGACATCAAAAGTTCTGATAAGGATACCAGTCAAGTTGGTCCAGGACCTTAATTGCTTGTCTCCAAATATAGTCCCATTTGGGAGTATTAGGAGTTAGCAGTTTTGGAGGAACATAAGAATTTGGAGGAAAACACAGTTCAGCCCATATATCACAAATTCCTTTTCTTTTCCAGGTCAGTTTGCTGAGAATGAAACTAATGAAGTCAATTTTAGAGAGATCCCTTCACATGTGCTATCGAAAGTATGCATGTATTTTACCTACAAGGTTCGCTACACTAACAGCTCCACGGAGATTCCTGAATTCCCAATTGCACCTGAAATTGCACTGGAACTGCTGATGGCTGCGAACTTCCTAGATTGTTAAATAAAATAAATTATAATAAACTGTTAACTCTTTTTCAGTATTTAATACCTGTAGTTCAGTTAGTACTTTTTTCATATATAGCATGTTGCCTGTGTGCAGTTGAACTTTAAAGTTCATTGCAAAGCAGATTATCTTCCGTTCTTTTGCATAGCAGTCAGAGTTGAAGTTTGTTTGCTACATCAACAAATTAAGGACATTTTCACAAATTGAGAAATAAACACATATACCAGTTCGTAGGTGGTTTTGCCTTATCCTTTGGATGTGATTTTTTAAAATAAGAGAAATGATGATACAATAAATGCTGAAATTTAGGCATAAATTGAACACGTTCTACAGGTAAATAATGGGGCTACGTATTTTTATGTTCTTAGTGTTTTTTTTAAGAAACCTATTCTGATCTTATAGCTATCATTAGCATTACTAGAGTTATGCAATTGCATATAATTGCATTATAAACATGTTTATAACTTAGCCAAAATATTGATTTTTATAACTGTCAAAGACATGAGAGTTGAAATTTCTTATGTGTCTTTTGATAAACTGCAGTATTGTTTTAAGTATATCTTGTCTTTTTGTTTATTGCTACAATTTAAGAACTTTATTTAAAATCAGTTTTGGAAGATATACTAGATACAGCTTTTGGAGCAGGGACTTTTTGAACTATAGCCGCATGGTCAACAAGTAAATTACACGTGCGTTTGGTTTCATGTACATTGTGCATTTTGGCCAGTCCAAAGCACTGTACTTTCACTGACTCTAAAGTTTCCTTTGCGTATTCATTCCCACATAGTCCCTTGTAGGTAGACTTCTCATTATTTAAGTATGCTTTAAAAGACTCATGAACTTCATCTAGATCCTGAGAACAAGACTTCTCTGAACTATTTTAGTCTTCCTCCATTCAGCTGAAATGTTATAAAATACTAAAACCTGAAGAGATGCAGTGCAGATCTTATATTGCACTTTGATATAGTTTATCATCTTCTGTTATCGCATTTCCCAGTAGACAGGATGTCGTAATCTGGGTCTTCTGCTGAAGTCAAACTTACAAAAGAGGCCTTTCAGCTTCTATACCAAGACAAAAAAAGCTTTTTTTAAGAACTATAAGAATGTCTCTGCTTAGTCATGGGAAAAGAAGCACTAGAGTTGGATTTACTATAGTCTTTATCCTAGTAGTAAAACAAAGCTGTTACTACAGGGTCTATAAATTTAAATCTTCAGCTTACTTCTTTGAGACTGGTTTAATATGGACCAGTTTTTCTGGAACCTGCAAAGACCATAAACAACCAAGATCTATAAAAGTAATTTTTCCACATAGAAGACCTCACATTGTACTTTCCAGCTTATTGAAAGCAATTAAATATAAATGTTAATTGCATATATTTTAGTAACTTCTTAAGACATAACTGGTACTTTTTTTTTTTCAAGAGAATAAGACATACTGGTACATATTTTAGTATAGAAGATTATCAAGTACAAGAATTATATTCTGCTACTTGGTGACAAATAATGCCAATTATAAACCTAAGTGGTGATCTTAAAGGTCAAGGTAATAGCTAGAATAAAGTTTAACTTTGACCCATTTTAGTAGGTTACTTTGTATGTTAGATCCAGAAGTAACCTCAAGTTTAAAATATTGAAACAACTGAAAGATTAGGAAAACTGTATCTTGTGGCAAATGATACTTGCATGTTAATAAAGACTATTTGACTGAAAGGTTTGATGAACACTTGGTGTTTGATCTTTTTAGCCTTAATTTTCTGTTTTTCTGCAGATGTATGAAACTATTGGCTTCAGTACATCTGTCAGATGACAATAGTAGGAATTTTTATTTGGTTAAATTTAACAGATGATTTTATATAGTATTGAAACCTTAATGGTTTCCTGACACTTGGTAATTAGTTTACTTTTCGAATTATGTGCAAATCTCCCCGATATTTTTTTCTGCACAGAGAATAGCACCACAAAATCCTTTTGTTTTATTCAGTTAGTATTTCATTTTGTATTATCTAGATTATTTATGATTTTTAGATTGCTTCTCTTTCTTACAATTATTGTTGGCAGATAACAGTCTCCTTTTGAAGACCTGTTAATATTGAGAGATACAGTTTACTATAAGTGGTAAATTTAGCTCATGTTAAAATAGAAGTACATTTAGAGACATCTTGCTATGTATGGAGCTGTCATCTTAGCTCTGAATCATTTTGCTAAATTTATTTATTATTATTCTTCCAAAATAGTACAGATATTCTGAGAAATACTGTAAAATTGCTGGTAGAGATTGAAGAGTGTTTAACCCTCATAATTCCTATCTATATAGAGGAAAATTCATACAAATTAACAAAGCTGGGATATATTTAGACTTAGCAATGCTAAGTTGAGCCTCTACTTAGTTTTATCTAATTTTGGTAAAACATAAGATCTGGAAATCAATAGATACCATCAATTTTATATATAGTGTTTTATTTGCAATTTTTAATCTGGTTTAATTCCAGGCTAGTCATATTTGTGCTAAGATTTTGTATTCCTATTAGATTAAATTCTTAAGTATTATACCCAGTGGTCTGTTGGTTTAAACAAATTATTAGTCTAAAAGATTCTGATACATTATAGCACCAAACTAAGAGTTAAAAAGTCTAATGTCTTGTGCTAATAAGCCATGTGATCTTGATCAAGTGACTGGGTCTTAATTTCACATCTAGGAAATTAGGAGACCACGCATCAATAGGGTGATGTTGGCCACATTTTTTAATGAACAAACAAGGTCATGTTTGTCGATGTTGCTTAAATCTAAAATTGTAACATTACAGATGATCATAAGAATTATGAATGAGGAAAAAAGCTTTCTTGCTGCATTTTCTAAGTAGCAGTCTATAAATATCAGTTTTTGCTGCTTTTGATTAGGCATTAAATACTACACATCAGTACTAAATAAGTTAACTAGATTAATTTACAATCCTTGTTTTCTGTTGCCTGCTATATAAAGAAAATTCCATTTTCTCTATGGTCATTATAACTATGGTCATCATTAACTTTGTGATACAAAGGGAAGTTTATACGCCGTTTCCCTGCCAGTAATATGCGATGCCAGGTCAATCCAAAATTCAGTTTTCATTTATGCTCAAGTTTATTAATTTATCCTGAATTAAATACTTAATTTTTTTTATTTACGCCATGTTTCTTTAGCTGTAAACAAGACTTTCAAAATGCCTTATAGAATATTCCACTTCCTCTCCACATTCCCTCCCCCTGCACACACACACAGGTTTTTTTAATTTGGAAAATTTTTAAATTGTTTTGAGGTAGAACTCCTGGTCTTAATCATCACATTGTTCTATAAGTTTTGTGTTCATGTTATTATTCTAATAACAGGACACAACTGTATCAGTATTTGGAGTTTTCCCCTCTTTCTAGATGCTTATATCATTTTTCATACAAAAGTGTTAACATTTACCTAAATATATATATGCTAAGACCTTTATTTGTGACAGCATCTGTTGCTTCATTATTTACAGAAGTATGCATAAGATAATAGCTTGTGATATGAAAAATTCAAATTTCATGACTTTTTACTCAACCAGAATTGTCTCAAATCTTTCCATTTGAACCTTTTATATCTTGAAGTAAAGCTGGTGATTAATTCTACCTATGCATACCAACTGGCCCTGGTCCAGTGTTAGGATTTTTTTTTTAACACATCAGAATTTTAACTAGGCATTGAAATTTTGATGCAAATTTACAAATGTATTTTTCTTTTGAAATAGTATATACTATATCATTTCTGCTCTTGAAAACTTCAAGAGTCTGTGCATCCATCTCAAGTATAATTTTGAATTGTAAAATACATCTTCTTCAGACCATTGGAGACCATTTTTGTCTTTCCATAATTTCATTCAACTGTTTTTGAAAATGATTGTTTCTTTTCCTACAGCCACCATTTGAATCAGCCAATATATGTTTGATTTTTGTTTTAATGAGGATTAGTTTGGTTAGTCCAAGGTTACAAGCTAATTTACAGTGAGATTCTAGACCCAGATCATAGTTCAAATTAGAACAAACATGGTGCTTAGATTCTAGAAACATCCTATGAATGTTACGTTCAGAAAAAGAAGTCACGTTAAGAGTATTGAAATAATATACAGAATACTGAAATGGTGGAATTAGGGTAGGGAGTTAATGCATGAGATGTGCTTATAAAATAATAAATGCTTTTTAAAGTATATGACATTTCTATCCAAATGAACATCATCCTTCACTTAGTAGGGCTATTGTTGCTCAAAAATGTTTCTGGAACTGACTTCAGAGCTTATAATAAATGTTCTTTTGAATAGCCTCAGTGGTGGGAGATGCTTTTCTTTCTTAGATTCTCTTAAATGTTTTGCAACAGTCAGTGTTTTTTATGTAAAACTACTGAATAAAGATGAGTGGCCAGGCAGAAGATACATAATTAAAGGAATTGGAGTAGCTTTCTCATGCAGCCAGTCACCATGCCAGCAGCATGGCCTGTCACAAAGCCAAATTTAAGGAAGGAGCTGCATCAAAGTTGTGATTAAAGTGGGTGTTTATAATTGTTATCTTACAGTGTAAGACATCATCTATGTTATTTTGTTCAATGCAGCAAGGTTTCCTACAACATCAATACTAACAGTTTCTCTGTTATGGACAAGAGTATGATCTGTTCGATAAGTACCATTTCATCCTTAAATACTGAATGAAAACCTGCTTTCCTAAAGAGCGGAGTCCATGAAGTTCCATTGACCGGTGGAATGACAATACAAAAGTCAAAAGCCAGGAGCTCCTTAAAACTGATGAAATCACAGTTTATATGATTATCCTTATGTGTAACTAACTATATTTTTGTGCTTTTCCTAGTGGCAATTTTTGCTTTATGTATATCAGCTAAAAACTAGGTTGTAGAGCAATAAGGAGGGCATTTTGTGTTTTGTGGGGATGTTATCTCTTCCAGTGCGTAACAGGCTGATTTAAACATGGTAGATGTTCAG